AGAGAGAGAGAGAGAGAGAGAGAGAGAGAGAGAGAGAGAGAGAGAGAGAGAGAGAGAGATATCGGTTTTGATAATGTAGGAATAATAAGCATGAACATGTTATTTTAATATATGATCATATGATTCACAAAAAATAATGAAACAAAAAAAAAGAGACAGGAGAGAATGTCTGTCCATATGGTATTTTTATGTGGATATCCGATATTAATGATGCATCTATTATTTAATTTTATATAAATAATTACTATTGTCTTAAGACTTTGATCTAAAAAGCTGTATTACAACTTTCTTACAAGAAAAATCAAGCTTGTGTTGATACACTTTTTTAAGTATGATTTTTCTGAATTTGGTGAAGAGTGTCAAGGTGATGAACAAAAGGGAAATGGTAGATGGTGGATACCAACTAAAATAAACAATGTACTAATAGTAATGCGTTTAAAGCTGGAAAACGAAATTATCATAACTTTGTTATATTAACATAATTAAATTACACGTATAAAAAAATGTAGAAGAATTAAAAATAAAATGGCGTCGAAAGGGTAAGGGAGGAGGTTGAGTATGGTTTACGCCAAACACATGGTCGTCTTCTCCGTCTTTCACTTGCTCTATAAAAATCCCTTCCCTTGTTTCCCTCTCCCTACACCGCATACCCACTTCTCTCTCTCTCTCTCTCTCTCTCTCTCTCTGAGAAATGTCAGTTTGTTCTGTTTCGCTCTGATTCCACTCTGCTTCCGCGGTTGACGATCTGGGTTTTTCGAATTTTCTCGCTCTGTTTCCTTCTTCGGGGTTCCTTCTGATTATCCCTGTTTGAGGCCCATGGAGAAGCTCAATTTCGTGAAGAATGGCGTTCTGAGACTGCCTCCTGGGTTTCGATTTCATCCCACAGATGAAGAGCTCGTTGTTCAATACCTCAAGAGGAAAGTGCACTCGTCCCCTTTGCCGGCTTCCATCATCCCCGAAGTCGATGTCTGCAAAGCCGATCCATGGGATTTACCTGGTGAGCTTTCAAATCCCCCTCTCAAATCGCGAAACGCTTGCCCACAGTTCGCTGAATGCGGTTTTTCTTGGGTTGTGATTCGCGATGGGTATTCTTCGATTTCTGCAGGAGGGTTGGAGAAGGAGAGGTACTTCTTCAGCACGAGAGAAGCCAAGTACCCGAACGGGAGCAGGTCGAATCGGGCAACCGGGTCGGGTTACTGGAAAGCGACCGGAATCGACAAACGGGTCGTGACGTCGAGAGGAAACCAAGTTGTGGGCATGAAGAAAACCCTAGTTTTCTACAGAGGAAAGCCTCCTCACGGATCTCGAACCGATTGGATCATGCACGAGTATCGCCTGGCTTCTCCTCCTCCGGTAAGTAGTGTCTCTAATCGCGTTTTAAGCCTAATTAATGAGATCACTAATCTTATTTTCTTTTTGGTTAATCAGAGTTCAATGGGTCCGACGAAGAACTGGGTCCTGTGCCGTATATTCCTGAAGAAGAGAGGCCACAACAAGAGCGAAGACGACGTCGATTCATGCAAAAAAAACCACAATTACTGCGATAATGACACAAATAATGATGATGGGGATCACCGAAATGATCCTAGGAAGAAATCGAGTCCTGTATTGATCGATTTCATGAGAAAAGAATGGACGACGGATTTGAATTCGGACCCGAAATCCCCGTCGGGTTCTGGTTCGAGCGGGGTGACGACGGAGGTTTTTTCCGATGAATCGGAAGATGTCGACGGGAGTAGTAGTAGTTGCAGTAGCTTCAATCATTTCAGAAGAAAAACATGAAACTAATAATGTTTTTAATAATTTATAATACGGACCCCTTCGTTTTTCTTAACTTCAGGAAAAAAACAAATCTGCCCTGTTTTTGGTTATGTTTTGTATTTTCGTGTAACAGTGGAAGAATATCAGAATAATTAACATCTTTTGATTGATCCAAGGAAAAAAAATAAACTAAATTTCACATTTCGTGTGTTTTTATACGAAATTTTCCTCAAGGGACAGACAATTGCGTATCAGCAACTTATTAGTGTCTAACACTTTTTTTATTTAA